GTTCTTTTTTTTCTTTTCCCAACTTTTTTAGCACTTTTATGGTGCTAGGGTTCCTGTACAGTAAACCACACGTATTTCAGATGTATAATTTGATGAATCTTGATAGATGTAGACACTCATGGAACCACCACCACAGTCAAAGCAGCTAACATTCCCATCTCTCCCCAAGAGGTGCAATTTTCAAATTCCCAATTTATCCCTTCCCACTGCCTTTACCCCCTGGTATATATATTTTTTAAGTCTTGTTTTTTTTTTAACAAATGAGATGGGAAGTGTCCGAGGGCAGACCCACACAGATTAATACTCCGTGCTCCATCTCTGAGAGACAAGAAGTGAGAACGTGAGGCCGCCGCCGCCACCAGCGACCACGCACTTGGCTGTTTGGAAAAACCCAGCCCTGCTCCACCTTTGCAAATCCCCCTGGGCCGTGTGGTCGAGGTCGGGCGTGGGGAGTTTTCTAAGATCAAAAGCAGCTGTTTCTCTAACTACGCTCAGTTTCTTGTCATAAGCTATGGTGGAAAAGAATCTGAAAATAGACGTATATTTATGTAGACGTCTAACCGGGTCGCTGTGCTGTACACCCGAAACTAGCACAGTAAATCAGCTACACTACAAGGAAAGACGAAATGTGGAAACAGAGCAGCTGTTCGGTCCGACTTAACCATCAGGCTGAGGCAGGTACACAGACTTGCCTTTCCAGACTGCCCTCCCACTTACGTCTCCAATGCCTCTGTCTCGTTGGCTTTGCTTTTGTAGCTGTGGCGGAAAGAGATCTGCTGAGTGTCCTCAGCAACTAGATGAGCAAATTCAGACTCAGAGTGGGTACAGCGTCCAACTTACACAGCCCAGTAGTGGGACGACCATTCTCAGACCTGGCATGTGTAAGTCTCACTCTGCCCCGTTGGGAAAAGCACAGCTTCTCAAGCTCTACGTGCACACTTTGCAAAAAAACATGTTACAGCTCAGTGTTACTGCAACAACCTGGATCCGGGCGAGAGACCAAGCAGAACTCGGAGGGTTGGAGAACTCAGCTTTATTACACCAGCGGGCCCAGAGGAGTTAACACTCCAGGCTCTGGACCCTGTCTGTGGGTTTACACAGGCTTTTATAGGTGCCAGTTTACACTTTGCAACATCATATGCAAATAAGATCTAACAAAAGTTGACTAATTAGGAACAACCTTTGTAGAAATGGACCAATCAGGAGGGAGAGAAATAACCAATCAGGAGTGAGGGAAATGGACCAATCAGGAGTGAAGGAAATAACCAATCAGGAGTGAGCTCCATGCAGATAAAGTACTGCAAATGGACCAATCAGGAGTGAGGGAAATGGACCAATCAGGAGTGAAGGAAATAACCAATCAGGAGTGAGCTCCATGCAGATAAAGTACTGCAAATGGACCAATCAGGAGTGAGGGAAATGGACCAATCAGGAGTGAAGGAAATAACCAATCAGAAGTGAGCTCAGGAAACCAATAGAATTTTAGGGGTAAGTAAGCCAGTTCAGAGGCAAAAAGTGAGACAGAGCCGCTGGGCCAGGGAAGCGGATGGTGTTGGCAGGACAGCAGTGGCCCTGCTGGGGGTCCTGCCCGTCTTTTTTATGGGGCTTTTCGTCTCACACTCATATCACCGGAGGAAGAGGTCGTGGTGAAACACAGATTCTGACTCCCGAGGTCTGGGCTGGGACCTGGGATCCTGAATTTCTAACAAGAACCTGCTGCTGGTCTGGAGGCCGGGTCTGAGCAGATCAGGATGGAGACGGGAAATGGCCATCCCCAGCGGGTCTCGTGGAGGCGAGGCTGCCCACGGGTGGTGAGGCTGAGACGCAGAAACCACGTGACCCGGAATACGAAACAAACACGGCCAGAGGCACAGGCTTTCCGGGTTCTGTTCGCTCCGTCAGGAAGGCACCTTAAGTTCCAGTGCGCCTCCTCGACTTTCCCGAGGCGTTTCACCGTCTTGGGCCACTCGGTGGAGTCCCAGAGCAGCACCTCGCTGGAGGGTTCACGGCCGTCTGTGCCTGGGGTAACAAACGCGAGCCCCTGCTGCACACCATCCTCCCGGTTCCCCCAAGGCCGCCAACTTCAGGGGGCCGTTTACAATAGAAAAGAACAAATCTGACTCCACCTTAGACCTGTTCCTTTGGCTTTAACCCTGTGCCCTGTTCTCTAGGCTTGGTCTCACTAGCTCTGCACTCACGTAAAGATAACAAAGTTGCAGAACAGAGAATAACATGGGTTTTGTTGGAGGTTTTGCAGGGGCACCATGAGCGGGCCCACCTGGACAACTGCAGGAGCAAAGGATTCCCGCCCCAAGAAGTTTGCAACAACCAACCACACCCCCTCTCCAGGTTTTTTGGGGTTTTTTTTGTATAAAAGGAGCCTTTGTTCTGACTGGAGCAGGATGGTTCTCCAACACATTAGCCTGCCATCCTCTTGGTCTGCAGGCTTTCTGAATAAAGTCGCTATGCCTTGCCCCAACACCTCGTCTCCCAATTTATTGGCCAGTCGTGCGGCGAGCAGAACGAGTCTGGACTCAGTAACATGTTGGGGACGGTGTTGCTGGGCAGTAGGCTCAGGAGAGCAGGAGCTTGCTGAGCAAAGGCAAGACACCCCTCTGTGTGTCCATCAGTCAAGGGAGACTGGGAGGTTCTACAAGGCGATGGCTGCTTCCATCCATCAGGGAAAGGCCCTTGGTGGGCAGGGGGTCCTCTGCTCCCACAAGGGCAGTGGTCCTGCTGTCCCCGTGGGAGTCAGCCAGCCGGGGGATGGACCGGTCAGGGCCCTGTGTGAGCAGAGCGCGAATGTCTGTGTATGTAGCACCGGGCTGGGGAGACTGGGAACGGAGGGTCCCCAGGTGCCCGCCGACCCCACGCCGCCTCTCCTCTGCTTGGCCAGTGGCCTGTGTCCTCAGCCACGTGATCCAGAACCACCCACAGCGTGTGGAGACGCCAGCAATGCACTGCGGTCTGTCTCTGGGGCGGGCTGGCCAAATGGTGGCTGTGACTTGGGCAAACATTGAAACAGAGTCTCCCTCGGGCCCAGCTGAGCTCGTGGGAAATCCAGAGGAGTTGGTACCAGCGCCAGGGGAGACAGGGAGTGGTTGCCTTTCCCGCCCCTCTTCCCCGGCCCGGGGCCACACTCTCTGGGTTGAGGAGAGGAGAGGGCAGGGCCGGTCCAGCCTGCTGCTTCCTGCCCCAGGGCCTTGCTTCGGGGGCTTTGCTGCCTTGGCTTCGATTTTTCCATGTGACATTGCCACCTCGCTGGGGGAGTGCCTGGTCTCAGTGGTCTCATTACCCAAGGAATCTGGAAACATGGGGTTAAGGCATTGTTGGAGGCAAACCCAGTGCTGGAGAGGGACGCAGGTTCCGTGAGCATCCCTCGTGTTGCTGGGAGGGTCCTGGCTCGCTTCACCCATCGGTTTCACCCTGAACGGAGCGAAGGATCATTTGCTTGTTAACGTCAGCATTAACTGAGCACGTGCTGTGACATTCGCTGTGCAAGGCCGGCCCCCCAATCAGGCAAGACGGACACAAAGGAGAACCAACTCCCATCCCTGCTCTGAACAGACTCGCAGCCCAGACCCCAAAACTGTCTTCATTCCCCGAAAGAGCCTCCATTGCAGAGGCTGCCTTTGATTTTTGAGAAATTCTGTCTTCAGTGCTTCATGACCAAAAAACCCTGAAGAATGGTCCTTGTCTTACCGTCTTTGAGAGTTTCCGGGCAGCCAGGGGGGTGCGGGCCCAGGAGGCCGGTTCACAGGCTGGGAGGGGACATCCTGTTCCGTTTGCCTTCCAACGCCGGCCTATTTTAGTCCCTAAAATCTCGGTCATTCCGCTGAGGTTTCGTAATTAGAGGGTCCCAGCCGGCCCTGCACTCATCTTCCGACAAGGGAGAGGAGCTGGTCTGGTTTTGGATTATGAAACAGCCCCCCAAAAAAAACCCAAAACACTGAGAACAGAAATGACTACAAGTGCATAATTTCCCAGGCAGGCCCCGGGGACCGGAGCGATGGGAAAGTCTCAGACACGCTGGGGGGCCCTCGGTTCCGCGTTCCTCGCTCCACCCAAGGCGGATGTGTGGGTCCGACGTCTCAGAGAGACGTTTCGTCAGACCCGACCGCAGGAGATGGATGGGTTTTCTCTCCCAGCCTTCTCCCTTGTTGTTGTCGAGAAAGTTGTAGTCATGTCTCCATCTGACACGGCCACCCAGTTCCTCGGTACATTCGGGTGGTTTGAGACGAGGAGCAAATTGCGTTTTGAAAGAAAGCAGTCAATGATTCACCTCTCTCACCGCCCACAGGAAAACTGAAAAAAAAAAAAAATTTCGGGAGAGAGAAAACTTCCTAAAATGCAACTCCAGGTTCTGGCCCCAGATGACCTCTCTGGTGATCGTGGGTAAACTTGTGGGGCTTCTGCTTCTCTGGAAGGTCAAAAAGGAAACTTTCCACAGGCCCCCGCTGGAGCTAACTTCTGAAATTGTTTTGAATTTTATTTTTTTAATTGAAGTGTAGTTGATTTATACAGTTAGTTTCAGGTGCACAGCAAAGCGATGCGGCCTTACGTACACACACATATGTATTTACACATACATTTTCCGTTTCTTTTCCATTGTAGTTTATTACGAGAAATTGAACGTAGTTCCCTGCGCTCTTCGGAGCCAACCGCTAGGGACCGTCCCTGAGAGTCACTGAGGGCAGGGTCAGGACACAGCTTCTGGCTTCCACCCTGGAACTTCTGAATTAGAGCTTCTGAGAGTGGGGCCCAGGAGGGGCATTTTTCAGTGGTTCCCCGGGGTGACTTCACAGTCTAAGGACTTTAGAGTTGCTGGTGTCATTACTGGGAGGGTGGGTTTTCGAGGGGCTGGGCCTCACCCTGCCTGTGCCCTTGAACTCTTGATTCCCCATCAGCTGGCAATGGCTCCGCCCCGGCTTGAGTGGAGTTGGAACGTCCGAGGCTCCCTGCGACGTGGAGGCTCTCGGAGGCTGCCGTGGGTGGGTGGCGAATGATGGAACAATTTCAGTGTCAAAAAGGAGAAAAGATTTCTCTGGACCAGACCCATCAGTGGCTTTAAAATCCTTGGGTTCACCCGTGATGAGAAGTGGAAACTCACCGGTCGCTCCAAGGACGCTCGACAACCTACACATTTTAAGCAGGAATCCTGTATTTATGCTGCTTCCCTCTGGGTGACCGGACGGCCGGATGTCGGCACCTCTAAGGAAGGGGCCGTGCTCGTGGTCTCTGCTGTCTCCTCAGACCTTGCGGGGCCCAGTGTTTGTCAGGCCAGGACAGCGAGGCGTTTCTCCACCAGCAAAGCAGCCTTGCCTACACATCCGCGATTTCCTTGTCCACCTGGGGGAGCATCCGCTCCGAACTCCCGCTGCGAAGCCTGGTTGGGGCGCGCCCTCAGTAACTGTGCGGGTGGCTGGAGCCCCACATCCCCCTCTCGGGGTGGGGGTTGGGGGTTTGTCAGTTCCTAACTTCACGGGCAGCCCCTCTCTCTGGTTTTGCTGGACCGGCTTCATCGCGAGAGGGTCACGCTTTGCGGAGGAGGGGGCTGTGTCTGAGCCTGAATGACCTTGGAAGGCGGGTGGGGACCAGGTTCATGTCCCGGCTCGGATCCCTCCCCGAGGAGGGACAGACAGCAGCATGGCCTTGGAACACCAGAGCACTGGGTGTCTTCCCCTCGCGTCTAGGGGCTGGGGGCCCCTGAGGGCGGGAGCCTAGCCTGGCCCCCCCCAGAGCCCCGTGCCAGCGCCAGACCCCAGCTCCCTCGCCAATGTTTCCAAACTGAGCAGACATGACAGCTGAGGCCCCCGTCAGCCGCCTGGGGGCCCCTGTGTCCACTGTCCCCCAGCCCTGCTCCTGGGCAGGGACCCTTATCCAGGGGCGTGGGTGCCAGGGGCACTGCCAGACTGTCACCCTGTTCCCATGGGAAAGAGTGTGGGCCCCCCCATCAGTGCAGACCCCTCCATCAGCTGCCTCACCTTCACCCCACAATCATTGCTGAGGCTCACACCCTCCTTGCCAGGTGCTCATACGGGCACCCGTCTCACTGAGACCCTCTCAAAACCCTGGGACGTGAGCGGGGCGTGGGGTTAACCCGCCTGCACAGAGCAGAACTGAGGTCAGAGAGGCGCTGTCCGTGGTCACTGGGCCAGGCCGGCCACCCAGCAGCACACACTCTGGGTTTCTGCCAGGCCTACGTGACTGACCACGGGCGCACACAGATGACCCCTGCGAGCCCTCACCAGCACCCGCCCCCCCAAATCCCCAAGGCCACCGGGCTCCAGGAAGTCACGTCTGGATGTTTGCAGCTCCTCTCAGAAGACCTCTGGTCCTGATGTAATCCCCTCCACACAAAACCTCAGAATGATCCCACGTGAATTACGGACCGGAGGCCTGAGTCACAGGAACGCTGCAAAAACAAATCGTAAGTCATCGAAGGTATTTCGGACAAATGTGCGCTGTCGGCCCCAGCGAGACCCTTCGGAGGCCCTGGGAGAGTTCAGGCTTTAAAAGCACTGCAGGAATACTGACCTCTTTCCCTGGAACACACGGCTTCTCGCTGTGTCCCTCGTCCTCTGCCTCGTCGCTCAACTTTAACACGATGGAAATGAAACTTAGAGTGAAACGTGGAGCCCCTTTTTCTGCGTATCTTCGGTGAACCTGAGGCTTCCCGGGGTCACCTGTGGGGCGGCTCGGGCTTGCGGACTCACGTAAATGTGAGCCCAGTTCCAGGCCAGGCTGACCTGGGCGAGAACAAACGGGCGTCGCCAGAGGGAAAGTGCGCGTCCCTGGCCCTGGTGACCCAGTTCCTCCCTCTTACCGCCGGCCGGCTTCAGCCCCACGGCCGTCTCCACGCCGGTTGCCCGGAGACGGGACCTGGTGATTCCCTGAGCCCCTCCAGGCCACACCCACCCGGACACAGCCTGCTTCTTCCCTGGTGACATTCTTATTTGATGCAGCCGCCCCCCCACCCCCTGGGGCTCTAGAACGTTCCACATGCACGCCTCCAGTCGCCCCCATCCACGGGCTCCAGGCATCTTCCCCTTCCGGGGCGTGTCCCCTCCGCCACCCCCAGGACCCACCTGCGTGGTGCCCGCCTCACCTGGAGACGGGGGCTGAGGGTCCCCGGGGCTGAGCGCCATCGTTCGGGGGCCCGGAGCTTCAGGAGGGAGCAAAGGGCCAGTCCCCGCGTCCTGCTCGGCCGGGAGTCCTGAGCTGGTACTTACGGCGAGCCTGTGATTCCGGATGAACTGCCTTTGAGTCACCTCGTCTCGCAGGAGGAATTAGCACAGCGCTGAATGACAGCTACAGCTTTTGGGGCAAAATCACTGCATTTGAATTATTAAAAAGTGAGTTTATCAAAATCCCGGGGGACGGGTCAGCTCATTTCCATGAGATGACACGTACGCTGAATATTTTTTTAAAATTTTCTCTGCCATTCCTTTCACACTGATGATTGAAAAGACCGCAGCTTTCTTCTTCCAGTGCTGTGTTCGCTTCTGGTGCACAGCACAGGACGCAGTTTATCACACGCGTACATCCCTGTTCACACGCTTTGTCTCTAGAGGCCATTGCGTGGTATGGAACACGGACACCCTTGCTGTCTACGGGGCTGGCCGCCCCGCCCTCCCCGCCCGTTGCTGCAGCCGTCGGGGCTACAATCACAACGCGGTAGAGCATTCGCATCTCCGTGATCTGCGGCCAGAGCCCGAAAATAGACGCAGGGACTGAAAATTACAGGACGTCGGTGAAATTCTAGGCCTGCCGAGGGTCCCGGAGGCCTGGCCTGCCCTTGCGGAGTGTGCGGGAAGCAGAGGCGGCCAGGCACCTTCGCCTGCGGAAGAATCGGGAGCCGTGTGCCCCTCGAAGGCCGACCCCGACACCTGCAGCAGGCTGTGTCACCGGGCACCGCGTGCCACCAGGATCCCTGGGCAAAGCCAGCCTCGGGGCTCGGGGTGTGGGGTCCGTGTGGGCTGTGAGCTGCTGGCCTCAGCCCCGCCATCAGCTCCTGGGCTTGGCAGGCGCAGGAAGAAAGGGTGCCTGACCGCGACAACGGAGAAAGGAGGCCCTGGGAGGCAGTGTGATGTCAGGGCGGCGTTATCTGTGCCCACAGGGAGGGAGGGAGGGTGAGCCCGAGGTGGGCGGGTGTCTGGCCTCCTGGACCACTGTTGCTGTCTCTGGGCCTGGGAGGCAGTTACACGGGTGTGTCCACTCTGGGATAATTCAGTAGGATTTTCTGTGCCTTTTCGGTGTGGTGGTTTGTCCGTGGAGGTTTGAAAGAAATCCCAGAGCTGTAGTAAAGCCAGAGGGGAGGTGGGACCTCCCGGGGGGGCCGGATGCGGTTCCCACCAGCCTGGGGAGGACGGGGCTCAGAGCTATCTGTTTGTTCAGAGAACGAACTGCACAAAGGGAACAAGAACTCAGCAGGGGCTCAGACAACAGGTGATTCTCGGCATCACGAGGCATTGTCTGCGGACTCACAGAGGCTCGGCCTGGGTGATACCCGTGTGCCAGGCGGGTTCGCTGCCTGAGCAGCTCTGTTCCCCCAGGAGAACTCCCCACGGAGGGAGGAGAGACGTGGTACGTGAATTAACAGCGATGGATACAGACACCAATGTCTTTGAATGTGAACCGTGTGGCACGTCGGGGGAGAGCTCCCTGGAACCTGAACGATCCTGCCAACAAGAAACACTGAACGCTTTGGAGCAGTTGCGCTGTGGACAGAGAATTCACGCACGTGGAGACTCACCAGGTCCAGGAGCCGCGCCGTCCTGAAGATGAGGTCCCGGGACGGTCAGACGGCCTGGAGTTGGACGGGCCCTTCCTGCGCTTGGTCAGATGAATGCATCACACAGAGCAGAGGCAGGCGGGGCGGGCCTCCTCTCTGGGATGCGGAGAGAAGCGAATGAGAGGGGCCACCAGCTTTCTTCTTTATCCCTTCTGGATTTTTAACAACGACTTTTTAAAGACTGGATGCTCATCTCAGTCATCAGACATCCCTAAGGGGAGAGAAAATCGACTTTGTATTTCTGAAAAGCAACGTGGAACTGGCAGGCATCCAGAGCTTTAAATCTGACAGAATAATTAGCCTCCTGCAGAACTTGACAAAAGCGATTAAAAAAAAAAAAACATGAGCAGAGACTTATGTACAAGGAAGTCTTGCTTCTCTGGCTCTGACCCTGGGCTCAGTCCTCCTGGTTCTGCACCTTTTGTAAAACAATGTTGCCTCGAGCCTGAAATACACAGGAGAGCCCATCCTCAAGGCTCTGGCCTTTAAGGGTGTAACACTTTTCCGTACATACAGAGATAAAAAGTTGCGGAACAGAGACTAACACTTGTCTTGTGGGAGGTTTGTAGGGGCACCGTGACCTGACCCAGGGGCACAGCTGCAAGAACAAAGGATTCCTGCACCAAGGAGTTTGCAGCAACCAACCACACCCCCTCCCCTTTTAGCATAAAAGGAGCCTGAATTCTGACTCGGGGAAGATGGTCCTCCAGGACGTTAGTCCCCCATCTTCTCGGTCTGCTGACTTTCCGGATAAAGTTGCCATTCCTGTCCCAACACCTCAGGCCCAATTGGTGGCCTGCCATGAGGCAAGCAGAATAAACTTGGACTCGGTAATAGTCTCGATCATATTTTAGCTGCTAGCATTCCCAACTTTTTTTTTTTTCCTCTCCCCCACCCTGAACAGACTGGGTGCATTTTCAGAACATGCAAAAGCAGAGGGTCCCTGCATGCTTGTGTCAGCGGTGGGGTCGCAGCCCGGCCCTCAGGCCCACCTGCAGGGCCCAGCTGGCCTCCAGCTTCCGGCTTCCTACTTTCGTTCTCGCTGCTCACTTCATTCTTAGCCTGAGCTTGACGCTTCCTCTTAGAGACATGCAAATTTCAAGCTGCCGCAGGTGTCTGGAAAGTTACCACCCCAGTGTGTCAGCTGTGAGGCCGGGATGGCGTGAGGGTTAATTTTTTTTTAACTGTCTTGACTATAGGTTTTGAGTTTTCCTGTTGTCCTGTAAGGGGGAACATCCCTTGAGGGGGGTGCTGGCAAGAAATTTGGGCTTCAGCCCTGTGCTCCTTCATCTGGAAAGTGGGGCCCAGGCACGCGCTCTCCTCGCCAGGCTTCTTAAGGGCCTGAGCGCCTTCTGCATACCGGAGGCTGGGGGTGTGGGTCTAGCAGGGAAGAGAGGGTTCCAGAGGCAAACAGGCAGGGACCATGGTGGAGGAATGGGCGAGGTCTGGGAGGCAGACAGAGAGGAAGGTGGCGACCCGGTGCTGGGGGACACACACCGCTCCAGGCAGCGGTGGGTGGGCCGGAGTCTCCCAGGATGGGGTCCCAGGCTCCTTTGTATCAGCACAGGGTGGGTAGACGCGGGAGGCTGAGGGAGGCCGTGCACTTGGGGCTGGGCCGGGGGCCCACGGACAGCGTTACATGTGGGACAGGGAAGGAGCGGGGTGCACGTGGCTCCCGGGACCCCTGGTTTATCGGCGAGGCTGAGTGACCTGAGACTTGCAGCCGGCATTGGTTTGAAGAGTTTTCTCCGTGCTGCAGAGCGCAAGCTAGAGATACATTGTAGGTTGTGACAGTCGGTCCCACTGCCGGGACGCCTTTTGCATCCCCACCTGGGCTGACCTGGGCTGTCATGGGAGGGCGTCACCCCTGCCAGGAGAGGACACCAGGAACAGAGTCTCACCAGGAACTAACCTCCTGGCTCCTCGATCGTGGGCGTCCAGCCTCCAGAACGGTGAGGAGTCGGCGTCGGCGTTGGCTTGATGTAGTGACCCGAGCAGACAGATACAGGGTCTGATTCCAGGGAAGAAAGGATGGGACGGTGCCTTCCTCCAGCTCCATCCACGCCTGATCCAAACTGGGGAAAGAAGGACTGAGACTCATTCGAATGCAAATCCCCCCCCGCCCCGCCCCGGAGGCTGACACTGGAGACTTTCTGAGTTAAAGCATCTAACAGTCTAAGACGTGTGGCCGGCCAGTGCCAGCAGGTCAGAGACCGCACACCTGTGTCCCCGGGTTAAATGACGCGGGAGACAGGCTCCCTTGAAATCCGTGCATTTAACTTGGGTTCAGTTTTTTTCCCTCGTTCTTTTAGGAGAATTATAAATGCTCCTCTCACCCGCTTTGGAGCCACACCTTGGGAGTGAGTAACAGCTTCCTGGCCTCGGTTCAGCCGGGTTCCCGCCACGGCGCCTCCGCCTGCGCTCGGTCCTGCCTCCGAGAGGGTCTCCGGGCTGAAGCTGGCCGTCACTCACACTTCACAGCTCCATCTCCTTATTCCTCTGTATTTTTCAAAGACGGGAAAAAAAATCGCTTTGATTCAAGAGTCAACTTCCAAAACTATTCAAAGCACGCCGAAAGTCAACAGACTTTGGCCGAAGAATGCAATGATCTCAACATTTTGTGCTTAATTTATGAAAATAAATCCTGGTCTGGAAAAGATACCTTGATTTGTTTCTCTTGGATGGTGGACGCGCGAGGACGAGGGTTTAAGAGAGACCGCAGCCCGGCACGTTTTAGCTGGTGGCCTCCGCTACGAAGTCCGTGCCTAACTGGCCATTTTGTGAAGCTTGTTACTGGGATGGTTGGAGAAATGACTGCTGAAAAAAAACGCAACGTGCTTCAGAATCGAACCAAACCGAACCAGAAGGCTACCAGAGGCGGCAGCTTGGTCTCCGGCCTTGCTCTTAGAAATGCGTCTGTGAGGAGGGTACAGCTCAGTGATGGAGCGTGTGCTTAGCACGCACGAGGTCCTGGGTTTGATCCCCAGTACTTCCATTAAAAATAAATCTGATTACCCACCCTTCCCCCCCCAAAAAAAACAAGAAAGAAATGTGTGTGCATCACGGAGGACAGGTGGGGTCTGTTGTCATGTTCCCTGACCTCACCATCTAGGACCAGCCCTCAGTGGCAGGAAAGGGGCAGATGTCTCCTGCAGGTGGCCTGTTTCAGGGGCTGGGACCCCTTGCTAGTCTGAACGCCCCCCCCATGATCCCAGAGCCCTTCACGCAGAGCCAGGGCCATCGCCAAGTTCTCTGGGCTGGGGAGTTCAAGGAGCAGGTAAGCTGGGCAGGGCTTTGAGGTCCTGCCACCCACTCTGTTCTGGGAAGAGCCTGACGTGGCCCTGGGGGTGGGGGACCTGCCCACGCCATCGCCCTCCCTCCCAGCAGAAAAGGAGTCACAGGGCTTTCGGGGTGGGAGGAGGCTGTGTTTAGGCCCAGGCACCACCCCGAAGGGATTCCAGACAGCCAGAGAAGGGGAGAGAGACGCGGGGCCTGCCAGTGTGTGGCAGGGGAGCACACAGAGGGGCTCTGTCCTGTGCTGGGCTCACCTGGCTGTCAGAACCCAGGGGTCTTCCCCGCAACCCCAGCCACAGAGGCGAGTCCCGGGCCCGGGCCTGGAGCAAGTCGCTCACACATTTTATTAGTCCCGGCAAAGCCATAAACCATCCCCTGGAATGCCGCGCTGCCCTCACCTCCCTGCCCCCCGACAGCCAAGCCTGAGCCGCAACCGGCTGGCAAGTCTAGGGCAGGCCACCTTTCCTCTGTTTTTATCACTCATTTAAAAAAATTTTTTTTCAACTGTTTTTGCTTTATCCCACCTCTGGGGGGAGAGGTAATCGGGGTTCATTTATTTATTCACTTGACGGAGGGACTGGGGATGGAGCCCAGGGCCTCGTGAGTGCTAAGCAAGCGCTCCCCCTTCCTTCGGTTTCAGCGGGAACGTCTCGGTTCACTGTGATGTCAGTTGTTCATGGTGGAAACTTCACTGAGGACCGAAATCAGGGGACACAAAGCACAAGATCACTTGTACTAGTTCGTACATCCAGGAGCCGAATATGTCACGTGTGTGGACGTCAGGGCGCGACATCTGCCATCGAGCTCGCGTGTATCCGAGCGGGGCGGCCTTAGCGCGTTGTTGTGAAACACGGCACTCACACAGAGCACTGACCAGCCCTTGCGTGACGCCTGGCCCGTGGCAGGAGGCCGCTGAGATCATCTTCCCGGTCCCCTGACCCCGGCCTCAGTGGGGAACCACCATCCTGATGTGGGCACCCCCATTCCCTTCCTTTGTAGTTCACCATCTAAATATGTCTCCCTCACAGTCCAGTTTGCTTATTTCTGCCCGTGTGGGAGGGAACGGGGGTCCCACGTACATACGTGTGTCCCTGGTGCTGTGAGAGCAGGCAGGTAGCTAGGGATGAGCAGAGAAAGGGGGACACAGGCAAACGTCAGAAAACCATACATCTTGTGGACAACAGGGCTCCTGGATCAGACCAAGAAAAACAGGACCCTCTGGGTTGATTTTAAAAAATCCTTACCTTCTGGGTTGATAAGTGTCCTGGAGGCAGAAGGGTGGGACAGGGCAGGAATCCCCACCATCCGAATGAACTTTCGATCATTATGACCTCCGTCCAAATGTAACCTTTTGCTTATGATACCCCCATCCGAATGTCACCTTTTGCTCATTATGACCTCATCCAACTTCCTGACCAAGACTAAATCAGGATGAAAACCCCTCCCCACCAGTGAAGATTCTGCCCATTCATTTTTACACTCACATAACAAGCTTGCTAAGGAAACACGGGGCAGCTACCCACCTGAGTCTGCCCGCTCTCTCCTTGACAGCATACTGTCTATCCCTTAATAAATCCTTGCTTTGCTTTTTTAACCTTGTGTCTTGTCTCTGAATTCTTCCTGTGACAAGACAAGAACCTCTCGACCCCAACGATGTCTTTCGCTCAGTTCTGCTCGGCAGAGGAACTCCCCACGTCACTGACATCCCTCACGCATCCGCACGGTGCCAGCATCTGCCTTCGCATGGATGGCCACGTTCCGTGTCCCTGTGTTCCCGGGCAAATTCGGGTGCTTCCCGGAGCTGGACTTTTACAAGCCCCTCTACCCTGCCTGGTGAGCAGGTTGTCATCTGGGCAATGAAAAGTGCTTTTCAGATGGGGTTGCACCAATTTATTTGGGGGGCTGCTCCCCATCCTCCCAACACATGATGGTGTCAGGTGCCCATGAGGTTTCTCAGAGGGTCTCACTTTGGCACGACCGGAAATATGTGACACGCGGGGGACACTCAGTCATGTCTGTAGGGTGGATGTGAAAACAAGAAGTTGGACCAGATTATCTTTTTTTTTCTTTTTTAAATAGAAGTATAGTCAGTTTACAATGTTGTGTGTCAATTTCTGGTGCACAGCAAGTGTCCCAGTTATGCATGTACATACATTTATTTGTTTTCATATTCTTTTTCATTAAACGTTATTACAAGGTATTACAGAGAATATAGTTCCCTGTGCTGCACAGTAGGACCTTGTTGTTTATCTATTTTATATACAGTCATTGTATCTGCAAATCTCCAACTCCCAATTTATCTCTTCCTACCCCCTTTTCTCACCCTGGTAACCTTAAATTTGTTTTCTATGTCTGTGAGTCTGTTTCTGTTTTGTAAATAAGTTCATTTGTGTCTTTTTTTTTTTTAGATTCTACATATAAGTGATATCACATTGTATTTTTCTTTCTCTTCAGATGATCCTTAATGACTCTCACAACTCTGTTTACAACAAATGCAATTAGACACATAATTACTTAAGCCTCACATAAATCTGTATCTTATATAATTACAGTGTAGCTATTCAGAGGCAGTTTTAAGTACAGATAGTTTAATTGCTCATTGACTGTATGTTCGTCATTGGTCAGCTGTACGTATCAGCTACTTACTTGGTTATGTTTGGTAACTGAATCATTCTCCATAGCGTGGACGACTAGTTTACCCCTGTGTAATGAGGTTGCTGTTTCTCATCTGTAAAATGAGGTAACGACCCCTGCCCTGTAGCGTGGTCCTAAGAATTAAATGAGCAGCCAGACCAGTTTCTGCTGCACAGTAAAATTTTAACATATGTTCATTTCTTTCCTCCCTTCCTTTCCTTAAATAGTATTTACAGAATAACACTTAGATGTCTGCTTATCTGAATTTTCTGATTGTTTAAAGTTTAGGTAAGGGCTTTCCTCTTCTCATTCATGAGCTCCAAACCCCTGTAATATAGCTGGTGGTGTAATCTAACTAAATTCCTTTTTCTAGTCCACAAACGATAAATGCTGGAGAGGCTGTGGAGAAAAGGGAACCCTCCTTCACTGCTGGTGGGAAGGCAGTTTGGTGCAGCCACTGTGGGAAACAGTATGGAGATTCCTCAAAAGACTAGG